GGTAACACAACATTCATTTCAGCAGTAACTTTTGCAGCTGTGGTTTTCTTTATTTTTCGTCACAATTGCCCTTAATGATCGTCTGTCACGATCACTCAGGACACACTTTCGTCCACGCTGTGATTTAGCAGATGATGTTTTTCCGCTTTTCAAATATGCGGAATAAATCTTCGATACAGTACCTCTTGAAACACTAAACACCTCGGAACACCAAGTGTTTAAATCATCATTGTTTCACCTACCTTAAATGTGCCTTAAATCTTTAATGTGGTTAGAATATTTAGAAATTTCAAAATACCATAGAGTCGGTAAGATCATTTAAATTTAAATTAAGTCTAATAAAATAATTCATATTTTATTTAGTTTATCTAAAAAGTTGACCTGAAAGAGAAAATCATAAATAATTTAAAGGTAGTCTGCTTTCACCAATTCAGCTGAAAACAGACTAGTCCTACAGTTTATTCGAAACACTGAGTTGATTGCTGTATGCAGGGAACGTTTCAATAGCAATGTCGTCGGTTCGTTTCTCTTCAGGATTATAATGAAAGTCGTAATATTTGTCTATTTCACGTAAGCATTTTAACCTCGCAAAGATGTTTATATTCGATTAAACCCCATAAGACGTGATCTATAATCATGTAAAATAATATAAACATGTATTGCGATCTATCCTCATGTAAAACAATATATCTGCGGATACCGAATTGTTATATGTCCAAATCATACAAAGCGTGGTCAACGGAACATCTAAATACCTTAATATATATGTATTTGAGCTGTTACATTATAATACATTTCAGATTTACGTTTTATCAAGAATATATTGGACAACTTTGATCAAAGAGTACAAATCATGATGCAGTGCCCCAGAATTTTTAATGAACAGAAAAGTACGCTATTTTATTTATAGGTACTCCTTATCGAATCTTATTCTTCGGAAATTAATTTTGGAATTTATCTGACAATTTTGCTCAGGTATGATTCATTAAGAAAATCAGATTGTTTCACGAAACGGTTTAGAAATAGTAAAACCAGTCTGTTTATGTGAGTATCGTTTGCTTCATTTTATTGTTGCAAACAGCGTAAATTCCTTTTGTTTTTCTTCCTTTAGTTTTGAACTTTATGTGTGGCAACAAGATAATTGATTGATAGAATTGTGTTTGTGACAGCCATGTAGAATGGCTCGCTTATTTTGTATCAATTATTTCGCATCGCTGACATATTATTTATAATTAGTGTAATCAAATAAAAGTGTAGGAATACAGTCCGTTTGTTGATTGATTATTGTTTGTGAAACATATTAAGTTTAAGAACATTTATGTTGGTCAAAGTCTAGCCGGAGAGCTAGTGAAGATAGTGACTGTTCTAAGTGTATACTAACAACGCAAATTTGTATATGGTTGGTGAAAAATTATCCACTTTGTGAGGTAAGTGGATTTTGAACAAAAATTCGTTTAATTTGTTGTTAAATTTTAAGAACAATGTTGTAATACAACATAGATTTCGATTTCATTTTAATAATAGTGTTAAGTGATTTAAGAACAATTTCTGTTTTTGAATTGATCAATTATGAGTGAACTTATAACTTTTAAAACAAAAACAGCGGTCTTACGCAGGAATGTTACTAATTATGTAAAGAAAATTGAAACTATTTTAACTGCAGATGAAATTAATTTAATAGAACTAGAGGAATGTGTTGAATTATTGACACAAAAAGAAAGAGTTAAAGAAGCTTGATTCTGAAATCGAAAGTTTAATTACAGATACTAAAGAATTAGAAAAACTAAATAGATAATGTTCAGGAGTACACAGATAAAATTTATTTGTGGAAATTTAAAGGTGAAAAAATATTAAAAAATCAAAATAATAAAAATAATTCTAATAGTGTAATTTCAGAAAAACAGGTTCTTGACAATATTAAATACCCAAGTTAACATTACCGACTTTTTGTGGTAATATTACAGAATGGATAGCTTTTAAAGATCTTTTCAGTGCTTGTGTAAGAAATAATACAAATTTATCTAATGCTCAAAAATTGCAGTATTTGAAGGCTTCGTTGAAAGGTGAAGCATATCGCATTATTCAAACCATTCAAATTTCGGATTGTAATTTTGAAATAGCATGGAATCTGTTAGACGAAAGATATTCAAATAAGAGAGAACAAATTTTTGCATATATTAAACGTTTTTAAGTTTACCAACTATTCAAAATGAATCAGCATTTGCTATTTTAAATTTAGTTGACAATATTAATGAAGTAATTAGTTCTTTAGAAGTATTGAATCAAACCATTTGATAATTTTGGTGACACTTTAATGACTTATTTAATTTTGCAAAAATTAGACCCTTTCTACAAAATTATGGTGGGAACGTCAGTTAAAATCTAATGAAATTCCAAAACTTACGACTTTAATTGAATTCCTAAAAAACTATGCAAGAACACTTCAAAATAGCAAATCAACAAGTAATAAGGTACCTAAATCTAAATAATCTAAAATAAGAATAATGTTCTGGTTGCTACTTTGGGTTGTGGTTATTGTAAAGATCATAGTTTAGCCAAAATGTTCGAAATTTCTAAATTTATCGGTTCAGCAAAGGATAGAATTTGTAAAATCTAATCATTACTGTTTTAATTGTTTATCTAATATGCACTTGCTCAAAAAATGCAAGAGTTTAAATACATGTCAACATTGCTTTAAGAAGCATCACAGTATTTTGCACATTGTAAATAATTCAAAGAATAAAACTCAGTTAAACAGTATATCACCGCCTACGCAATCTATCCCTAAAAGAGATGAATTAACGAGTCCTAAGGACGTTTCAGCCACAGTTTGTGCCTCTCATTATGATTAGAATGCAAAAGTTAATCAAACCAGTCACATTTTATTGTGTACTGCTTTAATAAAAGTTCAAAATTCTGAACAACAGTTTGTGAAGTGTAGATGTTTATGTGACACTGGATCTCAGAGATCCTTTATTTCAAGGGATTGTGTGAAGAAATTAGGATTACGAGAAGTGAAAGATAATTCCATTTCTGTATCATGTCTAGCAGAATTTAATACTATAAGTAATGGGGAAGTCGATTTAGTATTCACTTCTCATTTTAAAAGTGATATTCGTGTATCAACATCAGCGTTTGTACTGGACAAGGTGACAGGATAACATTCCCTATGTATCTTTGCCATCAATCATCTTCGATAACTTCAGTGATTTACAATTAGCTGATCCATTATTTTACAAGTCACAACCAGTTGACATTTTATTTGGAGTAAATGTATTTCTGCATTTAATGACGGGAGAAATTATCAAACGTGGGCCTGATCTACCATTTGCTCTAAATTCGAAGTTGGGATGGATAATTTCGGGTACTACAAATTTTGAATCTACAAATTTTGAGCCAGTATATGTAAATCATTTGAATACAAACACAGAGGAGTTACTAAATTCTTTCTGGGAGTTAGAAAAGTTTCCAAATGTACAAACTTTAACAAATGAAAAAAACTTTGTGAAGAACATTTTAAAAACTCGCATTTTAGAGAACATCAGGTCGTTATTCAGTTGCATTACCATTCAAACATAATAGAGATATTCTAGGTGACTCCCGTGAAATGGCGTACAGAAGATTTCAATACTTGGAGAAGAGGCTGTTATCTATGAAAAAAATTTACAACCAGTATATTCAGTTTATGAAAGAGTACTTTTCACTAGAACACGTAGAATTAGTGCCAGACACAGATTATGAATTAGAGCAGCGGTTCCCAACCGCTGTTCCGCGGCACACCAGTGTGCCGTCTGAAGCACCGTGGTGTGCCGCCGGGTCTGGGTGTCACGGTGCTGTTCGCCCGCTATAACTCCTCCCGTCACTCCCCCCGCCAGTGTCATAGGTGGTCACGGCGCTGTGCAGTGCTATAACTCCTCCCCTGCCAATCTTGACAAGTGTCCGCCGTGTCCCCGCCCCCATGAGACTAAGGCAGACGCCTCACACAGTGTCAGAGAGACAACGGCTGCTGTGAGGAGAGAGACACTGATACTGCAGTGATGGACAAGTTTTTGAAAAGGAAAGAACTGGACTCTGAACAAAATCTGGAGCCAGATGAGAGCCCGAGTATGAGTGGGGGTCAAAAGAAAGCAAAGATGGTTAAATTCTCTGGCGCAAGGCAATATAGCGAAAGCTATATTTCAGTTGGATTTACTTTCACTGGAGATGAACACAAACCAACTCCACTGTGCGTGATGTGTGGTGAAAAGCTAGCTAACAGTGCTATGGTTCCAAGCAAACTTAAACGCCATCTCCAAACGAAACACCCTTTGCTTCAAAACAAGAATTTGGACTATTTTGTTCGCCTGCGTGACAACATGGAGAAACAGGCAACTTTTATGAGAAAAACAATAAAGGTAAATGAAAGAGCTCTTAAAGCTAGCTATCAAGTTGCTGAACTTATAGCCAAGACAAAAAAGTCGCACACTGTGGCAGAGACATTAATACTTCCTGCCTGCAAAGCTATTGTAGAGGAGATGCTCGGACCTGAAGCAGCAAAGGAAATAGCCAAAGTCCCTCTCTCAAACAACACAATTTCCAGACGTATTAATGACATGTCTGCAGACATCGAAAGTGTGGTTTTGGAAAATATCCGTATCAGTGAGAAATTTGCATTGCAACTTGACGAGTCTACTGATATCAGTGGACATGCTCAACTCTTAGCTAACGTGCGTTTTGTTGATGGTGATGCAATTAGAGAAAACTTCTTTTTTTGCAAGGTATTGCCAGAAAAAACAACAGGAGAAGAAATTTTTTCGGGTCACATCAGAATACCTTGAACAAGGAGGACTTAAGTGCAGCGATGGAGCTGCAGCCATGGTCGGGCGAACCAAAGGCTTTGTAAGCAGAGTGAAGGAAAGAAATCCAGATGTGATTATTACGCATTGTTTTTTACCCGCGAGGCCCTCGTAGCCAAGACTTTACCATCAGTCTTAGTTCATGTGTTGGATGATGTTGTGCGCATGGTAAACATTGTAAAGTCACGACCCATGAAAAGTCGCATATTTGCAGCTTTGTGTGAGGAGATGGGAGCAAAGCATAAAACCTTGCTGTTTCATACGGAGGTCCGGTGGTTGTCGCGTGGCAAGGTCTTGGTTCGTGTGTATGAGCTGCGGGAGGAACTTAAAATGTTTCTGACAAATGAGGGGGCAGATTACGCAACGCAGCTTGCAAGTGATGAGTGGTGTGCAAGACTGGCATACCTGGCAGATATATTTCATCATCTGAATGAATTGAACACCCGAATGCAAGGCCGAAATGAAAACCTGCTTACAAGTACAGATAAAATAAATGGATTCCGTTCAAAGGTGCAACTCTGGCATCAACACGTGGAAAGTGGCAATCTTGAAATGTTCACACTCACCATGCAATGGCAAGGTGTTCACACTGCTGCACTGTGTGAGATAATAGTTCATTTAAAAACTCTTGAGGAGAAGTTGTCATTTTATTTCTCTTCAGTCTCCACTGAATGCCTTGACTGGGTTAGAGACCCTTATAGCTCAGCATCAGTTGTTGGAAAGAAAATGACTTTACAGGAGCAGGAGGAACTAATTGAACTGAGACAAAATCGTGGTTGCAAGCTGATCTACCTTTGGACAGTTTTTGGTTGGATACTGCCAAGGAGTTCCCCCTTCTGGCAAACAAAGCTATTTTGACATTGCTCCCTTTTTCCACTACATATCTGTGTGAGATTAGCTTTTCAAGCATGATTGCTATGAAAACCAAATACAGAGAGAGACTGAGACTATTGACGAAGAGCTACGTGTGTGTCTTTCTTCGATTCCAGCCAGAATATCAGCTTTGTGTTCAGCCAAACAGGCCCAGGTTTCGCACTGAAAGTATTTTATAATTTTTCAGTATTCTGTTTACTTAATATTTCATAATAAAGTAATTATAAAATACTTTCTTTGTGCTTATTTGATTCCTATTCAAGAGAATTACTTTATTATAGTCAATATAGGCACAGAGTTAATTTTTTAACATTTTCTAATGGTGGTGTGCCTCGTGATTTTTTTCCCCGCGACAAGTGTGCCTTGGCCAAAAAAGGTTGGGAAACGCTGAATTAGAGAATAAACACTATTATATCCCACATCACTTCGTGTTGAAGGACTCTAGCTTAACAACAAAATTGAGAGTTGTTTTCGATGCGAGCGCTAAAACAACCACATGTGTTTCTTTAAATGATACACTAATGATAGGCCCAAAAATACAAGATGACTTAATTTGTATTTTACTAAGATTTAGACTTCATAACATTGCAATAACCGTTGATATTAAAATGATGTACAGACAGATAAAGTTTCATGAAAAAGATAGAGATTTTCAGAGAATATTATGGAGAGATAGCCCGTATAAGCAAATACAAGTTTGTCGTTTGAAAACAGTTACATATGGAACTGCAGCTGCTCCATATCTTGCAACCAAAGTTTTGAGTCAGTTAGCGATTGATGAAGGATTGAACTTTCCAAAGGCAAAGAAGAATATAGTTTTAAGAGATTTTTATGTTGATGATATGTTAACTGGTGTAAAAGATAGTTCGGAAGGTATTGCATTGATAGACGAATTGCAACATCTGCTAAAAAGTGGTGGCTTTGAGCTTCACAAATGGTCGACAAGTAAACCGTCATTGTTAAAAACCTCTGGCTTAACAAACACAGATAGTGACAATATTCATCGTGTAATAGAAGACAAAACCATTGAAAGTTCTGGGATTGGAATGGCATCCGGACAATGATGAATTCAAATGTAATGTCGGTGTAATAGAGTATCAAAGTGTTCCGACTAAAAGAATTATTTTGTCATTCGTAGCAAAACTATTCGATCCATTGGGGTGGATAGCTCCGTTTGTAATTCTCGCTAAAATGATCCTTCAGCAATTGTGGAAATTACAATTATCATGGGATGATCCTGTAACAGAAGAGATTGATCGAAATTGGAGAAATCTATGTAGAGAAGTTAAACTTTTGAATTCTATAAATATACCTAGGAAAATTCTCTGCTACCTGATTATTTTCGATGTGAACTTCACGGATTTTGTGATGCGTCTGAAAGAGGTTATGCAGCAGTTATTTATATCAAAACTTGCAATAACTCTGACATTAATGTTAAACTCGTAACAGCTAAAACTCGTGTAGCACCATTAAAATCTATTACGATTCCAAGACTGGAATTATGTGCAGCAGTGTTATTGGCACGCTTGATTCAGTCTGTAAAAGCTGCATTAGTTATAAATTTTGATTTAGTGCAAGCTTGGAGTGATTCACAAATCGTGTTGTCATGGCTAAGGTCAGATCCTAAAAAATGGCAAGTATTCGTATCCAATAGAGTTTCTGAAATACAATCCATCTTACCACCTGAGAACTGGAGTCATGTTGATGGAAAGGAAAATCCAGCTGATTGTGCTTCACGTGGGATTATTTCCTGCAGAACTATTATCTCATCAATTGTGGTGGAATGGTCCTTCTTGGTTAAAGTGCAGTGAGATTGCCTTGTCTAAAAATATTCTTATAGATGAAGAGGCATTACCAGATGCACGTAAAACAGTCTCATTTGTAGTTTCTGAACCTGTACAGGAACTTGCTATTATATCAAATATATCTTCATTTCCAAAGTTACAACGCATATTTGCTTGGATATTAAGATTCATATCGAATTCTAAAGTAGCATATCTAGAAAGAAATACGTCTTTTTTATCTAGTAATGAAATTCGAGCTGCAACTTTCTGTATTGTCCGAATAATACAGCGATTTCACTTTTTTAAAGAAATTCAATGTTTGGAGTTGGGAAAGGACTTACCTACAAACAGCAACCTCCTTAGCTTGTGTCCAATTTTAGATGACAACAAAGTGTTACGTGTAGGAGGAAGACTGAAAAATGCGCAACTATCAGAAAATGAAAAACATCCAATCTTATTACCTTCAAAACACAATCTGACAGAAATCATAATTAGACACTTTCATGTCAAATATCTGCATGCAGCACCGGAACTTCTTCTATCTTTAATTAGACAGCAATTTTGGATCATAGCTGCTAGATCTGCTATCCGAAAAGTAGTAAGATCTTGTATCACGTGTTGCAAACTTAGAGCTAAAACTGCAAGTCAAATAATGGCTGATCTACCGGAATCTAGAGTAACACAATCGCGACCATTTCATCGAACTGGAATAGATTTTTCTGGACCGTTCATGATTAAACATCGTGCAGGACGTGGACAAAAATCATTTAAATATTACGTATGCTTATTTGTGTGTTTTGTAATCAAGGCAGTACATCTTGAAGTGGTAGAAGATTTGTCAACAAAGGCATTTTTAAGTGCATTGAAACGATTTATTGCAAGAAGAGGGAAACCATTTGAGATTTATAGTGACTGCGGTACTAACTTTAAAGGTGCAGACAAAGAAATCAGAAAATGTTTTTTGCAATGTAAGCAAAATCAAGAAATTCACAAATTTTTGTCTTTAGAGGAAATAAAATGGATATTCAACCCGCCATCATCTCCCCATTTTGGTGGACTATGGGAATCGGCAGTAAAGTCAATGAAATTAATCAATTACATCTAAAAAGGACTGTTGGTGATACTGTGCTGACCTATCCGGAATTTCAGACCTTGATAGCGCAGGTTGAGGCTTGTCTCAACTCTAGGCCATTGTGTCCAACATCGGCTGATCCAAATGATTTAACTGCATTAACACCTGGTCATTTCCTAATAGGAACGTCTTTAACTGCCATACCTGAACCAGACCTAAATTATAGTTCCTTCAATCACATTGACAGATGGCATGTGAGACAGTTTATTTTTCAGCACTTCTGGAAAAGATGGAGTCGAGAATACCTGTCTCAGCTTCAACAAAGACCTAAATGGCAAAAAAGTCAAAACAATTTAGAAGTCAATGACTTAGTCCTCATCAAAGAAGACAACCTTCCGCCTCTTAAATGGAGGTTAGGGAGAATAATTGCTGTTCATCCGGGCTCAGATCAAAGAGTCAGAGTTGCTAGTATTAAAACTGGTCATGGTGTCATAAAACGACCAGTCGTGAAATTGTGTCCTCTTCCTATTCAGACTAAAAAACTATGAACTGCTTCGCATATAATATTTTGTATTATTTTTCTTATGTTTATCTTTATTACAGACTAAGAAGTTTCAAAATGCTCCAACTTTCAAAATGCTCCAACTGTTGAAATCCCCTGGGATTTCAACGAGGGCCAGGATGTTTATGTGAGTATCGTTTGCTTCATTTTATTGTTGCAAACAGCGTAAATTCCTTTTGTTTTTCTTCCTTTAGTTTTGAACTTTATGTGTGGCAACAAGATAATTGATTGATAGAATTGTGTTTGTGACAGCCATGTAGAATGGCTCGCTTATTTTGTATCAATTATTTCGCATCGCTGACATATTATTTATAATTAGTGTAATCAAATAAAAGTGTAGGAATACAGTCCATTTGTTGATTGATTATTGTTTGTGAAACATATTAAGTTTAAGAACGCAGTCAGTATTATTAGTTTTTCTATAAATTTATTAAATCCTAGAGCCCTCAAAGGAAAATTTTTTTTACAATTTCACATTATTTACTTTTCAGTGAGAACTCTTTGGTAAAACATTGTTTCAAAATAGATTACTTGTTTAATATCTGTCAGTTTTAAATTAGTATGTATTTAATTTGAAGTTTGAAAATTCAAATCAAATACAAACAAATTTTATTCCTAGAGTATAACTCTTACCTTCTAACGCTTTTCCATGAGAAAGAATCTTAGTTGATCTATCAGATCCAAACAAAACATTCAAACAACCAAACAAAATATTCCAACCACATTTAAGATTTAAGGCACATTTAAGGTAGGTGAAACAATGATGATTTAAACATTTGGTTTTTCAGATACTTTTATAAGATTTTCAAACTATGGCATGCTTATCAGGATATAAACCCATCTTGAGATGTGAAGCTCTTAAGAACTGAAGAAACGTTTGTTCTCATTAAATTTTAAAATAAAAAATACAAGTACAAAACTCAAATATGCATTTGAAATATTCTACAAATATTTCTTCAACATCGCATGTATCTTAAGTTTGAATCAAAAGATTAGCATTGTTAACAGTGTACATCGTAAATACCGTTACAGTTACATATTAATACACAAAATAGTTTAGATAGTTAAACAGAGAAATACCGATCAGAGAAATAATACTTGGCAATATACAGTCTCACTCTTTTTAGAAGCATAAAATGTAGACCCTACGAAGAAGACGAAGTAGCGAGTACTCGCTATGTCTTTGAAGGATAAATACTACAGAAGAAGTTTTAAATAACCTCTTTATTTAAACTAAATTAAACTGATGCACGCGCTTGATGCTCACAATTCACCAGCACTTGTGGCTAACTTAAATTTAACAGAAAATAAAAATGTAAAATTCACGTTAAATTAATATGACTAACGACTGGCTCATTAGTTATCTAAGCTAAATCGACTGCACACAGCAAAGCCGAGCCCGGAATATCACTGTAATCTGACGGGAGTCTATCACCGACTAGACAACAAACACGCAGCATAAACTCGGAACTAACTCCGCTACTCTCTCGAACTGTTGAAACGCAGTTTAAATATTGCTTCTGAAACACATTTAGATTTTGCATACTGCGTCATTTAAAAGTTACAT